CTTCTGTGGTGGCCGTTTGCCTTGGAGTGTTCCTTCTAGCGTTTCGGGTTGCGCAAACTTGGCATCGGAAGGACTACGAAGAGGTTGGCATCGAAACGGCTGAGGGCGAGGGAGAGGAGGAAGGTTACGGCGATGAGTTCTGAGAACATCGCTGTTGAAGCCCGAGGATCAGGAATCAGGACTCTGCTTGACACTCGAATGTTCTAGACATCCCTTTCTCTGAATGGCATGTTCCTTGGGCAGTGCATGATGCCGTGTGTTCAGTGACGGGTAGAAGTGTACCTGTTGCAGTCAATGCTCGGACTGTTCAATCAAGATTGTGAGCGCCGAAACTGTGGCAAGAAAAGGTCCTTCGGCACACTCGGGGAAATTATTTCCATTTCGGCAAAGGCTTTGACCGTCTCAGCCGTATGCACGACAGTACCTGTCGTAGTCATAGTCTGCTCGGAGACCGTGAAGCCATTGCCGTTGCCGTTGCCGATGAACCCTGTTCATGGCGGACGGTCTATGACAGTTTTAAACCAATCATGATAAAAGTCTACTTTAAGAATTTAAGGTTGATGGCTAGCCGTACTTAAGAAATTATCCGGATCCCTAAACAGTGCGCGTCCAAATCCTCAACCGCAAGCCCGGAGTCCTCCCAGGGCCCGAAGGTTGCAGAAACGCAAGGATCTGCCGACATAGGGTTTCCTAAATTCCACATTGCCCTTATGCAAAGAAAATGTAGGATCCTTTGGTTGAGGTGGCTTTCTCCCCCTTGAGGCTACTTGGAGGATCATAGGACTTAGTAACCAGGGTTATAAATAAGCTAACTTTAATTATAATCCCAATTAGGGTACTTATAACCTTACTTACTAAGTCCCACAATCCTCCAAGTACTGATGCTAGGCCCCCGCCGCCATCAGCGGGCGGATCTTCGCTCGGCGGTGCTGTGGCGGCCGCAAGCTTGGCGAGCAGGACAGGACGTCAACAATATAGGGGGCCTTCATAGTTAGAATAGGGGGCTTGGGGGTATATTATACTATAATTATAATAGGGAGCCCCCAAAACCCTATTCTAATTATATAAGGCCCCTACATTATCGTGCTAAACAGTAATTCAGCATCAAAGCCGCTCAACCCCTGAACCCCGGGCCCTGAAGCCCTATCAGACCCTAAAAGCCAAAGCCCTGAAGCCCGGAAATCCTGAGGCGAAAAACCCTAGGGCCCTAAACCCACAGCCACAAGAACCCGAATGCCTAAATGAGCCCCCAAATCCTACGCCCTAATCCTTGGACCCCAACCCTACTGGTAGCCAGGGGACTCAAGGATTGGTGTATCAACCGAATAGTTAGAAATACTATTTCTATCTGTTTCTTGGGGTTGTTTTGAATTACTTATAGCACAATCTTCCCCTAAACCCTGTTCTTTCACTCTACGGGGATCAAGGTCGCAGGGGAGCTGCTGCCCGAACGTCGGCACGACACGCCGCGGTCGGAAGGAGCGGCGTCGCATCTTCCTAGAACGAGCGCCTGAGAGCGTCTTAAGGTTTTTTGTAGGAGTTCTGGGGCTTAGCTTTGTGAGGGCTCTAGGGTGTACGGGGTGTAGGGGTTTGGGGGTTCAGGGTTTCAGGGTGTGGGTGCATAGCATCGCAGAAGTATATATATATATATATGTATACACACCAGTGCCATCGGTATCTTCATCACCACCATCGCATTAGCCATGCAAGATACTAGCAGCAACAGTAATAGTTTGATACTGTCGCAATGCAGATGTGAGTTTCATCCTGGTCATGTCTCGGGCTGAAGACCCATCGGATGTTGGTAGAAAAGTGGGGGGGTTTGATTTCGGCGTGTTTCGGGATTCGGATAATCCGAACTTGCCTTCAGGACAGGAGGCTGCTGTGCTCCTCATCAATGGCGGACAAGACAGGCGGCGTGACCTTCGGAGGTTGACAGCGAGTTAAGAGAGGTGTAAGTGTAGTGGTTAGCCAATACCTCGTTCAGGCCCGAAACCAGCAATTATCTTAGCCCTTAAGCTCCAAACCTCGAATCGGAGAATCCTAAACGTCGGCTTTCTCCAGACTTGTAGTCGTTGCAGTTCTGGTCCGATTGGGAAACCCGACATCTTGCTAAATGCATTGCGATTCCCAGCTTGTTTCGACGTACACAAAGCAAAGGTCCGTAAATCCAATAGCCAAACTCCGATTGTAAACCCCCTAACCTTCTGAATTCTATCTTGAAGCCCAATGCCCTCCAACTCCAAACTAGCCACCCTGATCTTGGAGTCCTGGACAGGCTCACCAGCCCAGCAGCAGCCGAAGCATCAGCACAGCATCTTCGAAAGGTGGCGCAAAGGGGTTGGGGTCACATGCTGTGTATGTATGCATGCATGTCAGTATGTCAGTATGTCAGTATGTCTGTATGTCTGTATGTCTGTATGTCTGTATGTATGTATGTATGTCTGTATGTATGTATGTATGTATGTATGTATGTATGTACGTAACGTACGTATGTACGTACACACAGAGTTAAGCGGGTAGTCGACGTCATGCATCGATGGGTAGTTGCAGGATACTTGGCTTTTGGCTTTTGTTAAGCATAGTGAGCTTGGTGTCTAGGATTTAGGATTGCGAATCAGTGGATGTGCTTCCCTCAGCAGAACGCAGTGAAATTCTTCGAGAAAGTTCGTACTTAGTGCTGCCTATTGACTTGGTGTCGAAGCAAGGGTTCCGGATCTTGCGGCAGGTGCTGCGTGGTCCTGTACGGCGAGGATCTCGGCTTCACTGACCCAGAGAGCCCAATACCCCTTAATTAAGGAATATACCTTAAATCATAATATTAGGGCCCTAGAATTTAAGGTATATTCCTTATTTAAGGTTATAAGTACCCTAAATGGGGTTGTAATTATAGTTACCTTATTTATAACCCTAGTTACTAAGTCCCATGATCCTCCAAGTACAGCAGTCATCAGCAGTCGCCGCGAGGCCACATTGGTAGTCACCCTTTATACCGACTTGCAATCCTGAGGCTGGAAGTCTTCCCCGACCGCGGTGCAGAAATGCTGCATGGGGAGGCGGAGCACAAGCCTCAGGAAGCAAGCTTAAAATTGGTCCATCACCGAAGACCCCAAGCAGTTGAAGCTTCACCAGAGCAATGCTTGGGGGTTCCCAAAAAAGGGGACCCTAATATGGTACCCCAAATAGTAGGATCCCTATTAAAGGGGCCCCAAAATAAGGTACCCCCCCTATTTTCGGAAACCCCCACTTGGTTTGGACCTCAAGAGCCCCCCGTATCAAGGGAGAACAGGCTCGGAAAACAGGGCATTTGCTACACACCCGCAGCGCGAAGCGTCGGCCTACAAGAAACTGCCGGGGGTATTGGCAATAAGCACCGGAGTAAACTGTTTGGGGATGGAGGCAGACAAGGGGACGCAAGTAACACCCACAGCATGGCCACGCAGTCATTTTCGAGCTTTTCGCTCCTGTCGATTGGTTTACTAGTTTTTCTCAAGTTCTCCTTGCTCCTCCCTCTCCAATTTCTAGTCCCCTTCCACAGGTTTGCTCCTCCTTCTCAGAACCTCTTCGTTGTCATGTTCTGAATCCAGTTTCAGAGGCTCGTTCTCAGATTGTTTTTTGGTCAAATGGTATATTCTGTAATTAAGGGGTATTGGGCTCTCTTGCCCGACAGTATATAAAGTGTCCTGAGCACCGCCAAACTTGAAGTGCATTGGCAAAGATTTGGCCATGTCGGAACATCCCCACAGAGCCCAGTACCTCTTAAACAAGGCATATACCTTAAATTATAGGGGTCTTAATATTATGATTTAAGGTCTATTCCTTCATTAAGGGGTAGGTTGGGCTCTCTGGGTCATTCGGTCGTCTTTTCTCTACAAAGCAACGGCCCGCTACGGCGCCGAAGTCTCCGGTGTTGCTTTAATGTACAAAACTATGGTACTGAGCACCGTCAATCTTGAAACGGCAAACCTTTTTTACATGTGGTCTTCCTGCAGTACTCTTTTCAGTAAAGCTCTCTAGTCTCATTCAAGCGGCTTGCACATTCTTTCAGAATTTTCTGGTCCATGTCGAGTGGTTTGCTAGTCTTGCTCACAAAGTATCCTTTTTGTTCAAGTGGTTCGTCCCTGTTTCAGAGTTGTCCAGTCCCGGGCGCCTGGCTGCTAGTCTTTCTCAATTTCGATAGTCTGTCAAAAGCTGTAGTCTGGTTCAAGCGGATCGCTACTTCTTCTCGAGCTTTCTACTCCTTTTTGGATTTGTTTGCTCTTTCTTCTGAACGCTCCTAATCCCTCTCGACTGGTTTCTATTGTTTGTCCAACTCTCCTCTTTTCGCAGTGCTGGAAAGGGATTAGAGAAATCGAGAAGAGGAACTCGTTTAGCAAAAAAAGGGACTAGACACATCGAAAACGTTGTTGATTTTACCTTGCCGGGCTCGTCAAAGACACGACAGCACCCTCATCGATCGACTGAGTCGTCGCTCACAGCAGGGCGACTTTCCCACCTGGCACGTAACAGCTCTTGCCGAACTATATGACATGTGGAAGTACAGCAGTATCATGAAAAGAAGGAACAAACCGCTTCCAAGAGACTGAAGAATACGAAGAAGACACAACTTTGAGGAATACGAAACCCAAGAAAAAGGAGCAAACCGCGCGAACGCGACTTGATAATTTGACAGACAGGAAAATCTGAGAACGACTTGCAAAAATTTGCGGACTGGAAAATGCGAGAAGAAGGAGCAAACCGGTCGAAAGACACTAGAGAGTTTGATTGAGCGACAGCACAATTTGATAAACATTAGCACACCAGTCGAAAGGGGATAGAAAGTTCGAGAAGAAGGAGGAAGAGGCTCGAAAGAGACTAGAGATTTTGACACCAGTCGGAAGGGACTAGAAAGTTCGAGGGGAGAGAGCAAACCCCTCGAAAGCGAGCAGAGATTTTGACAGACAGGAGAAATTGAGAAAGATTAGCAAACCGGTCGAAAGGGACTACACAGGGGAGGAGAAGGATCAAATCGTTCGAAAGAGACTAGAGGTTTTTGACAGACAGGAAATGTTGCGAAAGATTAGCAAACCAGTCGAAAGGGACTAGAAAATTCGAGGGGAAGAAGCAAGCCGTTCGATAGCGATTAGAGATTTTGACAGGCAGGAGAATTTGAGAAAGATGTTCCAGGAGAGAGAGCAAACCAGTCGAAAAGGACCCGGAAGTTCGAGAATAAGGAGCAAACCGTTCGAAAGAGACTCGAGGCTTTGACAGGCAAGAGAAGTTGATAAAGACGAACAAACTTGTTGTCAGCGTTAGGAACATTCTTCAAGGGGCAAACCGGTCTGAAGCGATTAGGGTTTCTGACAGACAGGAGAATTTGTGAAAGGTTAGCGAACCAGTCGGAAGGGACTAGAAAATTGGAGGAGAAGGAGCAAACCGTTCGAACGAGACTAGAGATTCTGACAGACCGGAAAGATTTGCAAATCAGTCGAAAGGGAGTAAAAAGGCCGAGGACAAGGAGCAAACCGTTCGAAAGAGACTGGAGACTTTGACAGGCAAGAGAATTTGATAAAGACTCGCAAACCAGCCGAGAGGGACCAGAAAGTTCGAGGAGAAGGAGCAAGCCACGAGAGAGAGACCAGCAGTTTTGACAGACAGGGGAATTTGAGAAAGATTAGTGAACCAGTCGAAAGTGACAAGGAAGTTCGAGGAGAAGGAGCAATCCGCTCGGCAGAGACCTGTCGTTGTCGAGCAGGTTGTGCTTCTTCGGAAGCCCGAAAATCCACAGCCCGAGGTCTCGATGCTTCATGGAGTTTCTCTCGGAGCATTTGTACCCCGCCAGCGGCATGTGTAGGGGATTTCAGTGTAGCAGAAGGTTTCGCGCTCTGGGATTTCGGGTCTTGCAGTTAGGGTTCTGGTTTTTGGGCTTTCGTGTTGTAGGGCTGCAGGGCCTTTATTGGGTTCAAGGGGTAGGGTAGAGTGTCGGTGTAGTCGGGCTTCAGGTTTCACGTTGTTAGGTTGAGGACCGTAAAAGCCCGTAGTTCGAAATCAAAACCCACACACCCCCAAATCCTCCATTAACCCTAAACCCTAAACCCTAAATCCCAAGCCGCTTCAAACCCCTCCAAGCTCTCAGCCTTTCCCGCAAATCTCGCACCGGTGGCGGAAGTATTTCAGAGGCACGGGGTTGGCCGCAAGGGCAGCGAGGAGGCCATGCGCAAGTTGGGCACGGATCTCAGAGAAGCCTTGATTTGGGGCTAGATGTAAATGTATTTGTAGCTGTAGTCGGCTTACTAATTTTCTTGTGCTTGCTAAGTTCCCAGATCCAGTATGTGGACGCAGCACTGACAAAGAAAGCGAAACCCCATGAAACAAGCCTGTTTCGCCTCATTTGAACACCTGGACCCCAAAACCGCAAAATGCCATTTCAGGGGGAGCTTCAGAGGGAGAGCTAAGAGGGCTTAAAGGGGGCTTAATGCACGCTTAAAGGGGGCTTAATGGGGGGGTTAGGAAGGGAACCCTAAACCCTAAACCCTAAACCCTAAAAGGAAGGGGGAACTTGTTGCTCTCGAGTCTGATGCAGCTCTCGAGGGGCCGAGCCTGTCGCCTTCACGGAGGACGGGTGGCGGCCTCAGCTGTAGGGGCCTTGAGAGGGTTTAGGGTTTAGGG